TTTTTTTCCGTGCATTATTGAAAAAAAAATTTTTTGCACTTTAAAAATTAAAAAATCAATAACTTGGAAAATTTACATATCATATTAAAAAGAAAAAATACGTGTCATTTTTTTTCCTTTCTAGAACGAGAAAAAAAATTTTCAGGCGAATCAAAATTTTGATTGTAAATCTGATATGGAATGACCCATATATTGCAGGGTTAATTCATGTGTTAAAAGATCAGTTAAAAAGATCAGAAATATTATACAAATTTTTACTTCACCTTCAACACTTATTTACGCAGTATTCCGCGCGACTAACATAAAAAGTTGATTTATGCAATTTAGTTTAATTACATAACAGATATTTATGCAAATAACTTTGGCAACATTGCCATCAGTTGTACACTAAATTTACATTTTCCAGCGAAGACTATACTGTCTCATCAATTATTTCTACAATAATGAGTTATTTGTTGCGAGTGTTAAATTACCATTAATATGCATTGTGAAGTATTTATATAGATAACGTTATTATTAAAATTTTCCATTTGAGTTACACATAAATTCATAAATTACGTCAATCGTGACTTGTAGATTGTATGGAAATTTTTATTAGTAAGATAAGCATACAGGGTACGCCGTGAGAATCCGGACAAAAATAGTTTTATGCAAAAAGTTGTTTATTTAAGTCAATATACAGGGTAGTCACAACATTTGTGCCAGAGCTCGTGAGAAGGTAGAACGGATCGAGATGAACAGAAAAGTCCTGAACCATTTGCAATTTTCGCAATAGTTAACGAGTAATTAATTATCAAAAATCGTCGTCTTTGCCCTGCCCACTGTCCAATTCGAGCGCGTGGCGAGATGTGACCGCACGGCGATCGATGATGACTACGTTTCCACCGAGGGTCAGAGTCGGGCTAGAGTCGGGTCAGAATCGGGTTGGGGTGAGCGTTTTTGCGGTGGAAACACCAAACCCCAACCCGATTATGACCCTACTCTAGCCCGACTCTGACCCTCGGTGGAAACGTAGTCATTGCCAGGCGAGGGTTGGGGACGCGAGTCGCGGGAACGGCGACGTAAGCTCGTCGGCAACGGCGCGCACATATAAGTCCAGTAGATATAAACCAAAAGTGTACAGGGACAGATACGATGCGGCCAGGCCCATCAGCAACGTATGTAAAATCATGTATGCTATAAAGATCGTAAACCGCAAACATAAGTCGCTCCAACCACTTGACTCTACAGGGGGAAGGGCGGTTGAACATAACTGTCCCCCTAGTAGAGCGCAGGAAGAGGAAGCCACACTCTCTCTAATGGGCCCAGCTGACGCAAGATTGAAGTTAAGATATAAGAAAGAGAAGTAGAAGAATAGAACAAAGCGCAGTCTGAGTCCTTTTAGGGCTATTTACAATAGTTGGGACTAATTAATCCGCAATGTCCGACAAATCGGCGTCGCCACGCTCCCGAGCTCTTTCTGCATTCTCCTTACGCAACATTATTCTGGAGCAGAATTTGGAGAATGCAGACCAGTTCTCTTTCCTCTCCAAAATTAAATGAAGAACGGACTCTAGGGTCAGATCAGGAGTGCCAAGCACCTCGACCAACTCCGCACGCTCATCCGACCAGGCTGAACAACTACCGAGGGTGTGATCAGCAGTATCCTCCGCCAAATCACAATGCCAACAGGTTGGGTCGTTACCTTTCCCGATCCTGTGAAGGAAGGAGGCAAAACATCCATGACCAGACAGGACCTGAGTCATGTGGAAAT